AAGTACTTACCAGAGTGAAAAGGGCGTAGATGGCTATGAGGGTCAGAGGAAGGTCGATACAAATGATTATGCGTGTTATCCAATAAATGATCCTATAAATGATTACTTTGATAACATAATCATTATAATCAACATAATCATAATCACTCTGAACATAGCTTCCATCCAGCGTAGTGTTGCTTATGATATCTGCCATTCTTCTTTGTGAAACCTGTAGTTTGAAAGATCAGGATATAGACAGTTTAACATTGTTTATTGATATCAACTCAAGGTACCCAAACCTCACCAGACTGTGACTTTTCTTGTTAGGTTTTTGCACCAAACTACTTATTATATATTTCAGGAATAATCATGGCTTAGCTAAAAGGATAAGTCAATGTGGACTGTTTGTTTCACACCAGAAATGAGAGCCTAAGTGTCCTAGATGAAAGACAAAAGCCTACTGCCATAAATGTAAATAAAACCAACACCACATTATAATGTCATGCTGACTAATTCACTTCCAAAGGTAACATGACTTTGACATTTGCCCTTAGACAATATGAATAATAAGTTTAATTTGTTTCCATGTACACATATCAAAACATAATCATTTATGGGAATAATTCACCAGCTGCTGTCAGACTAGGTTGTTCTTTTCATATTTTGATCCTGTACTCCTACAAAACTGTCCTCGTCTACTGTGTATTTATTTTCTTAATTAGCACATAACTATGTCTCCAAGATGCCAGTTGTCATATTTGAAATAGCCTATCCATGTAAAGCGCAATCATAGCTACAAATAGCCCTCGTGGGTTTTTGTTTGATACAAAAATAAAGAACAATAACTCTAATTAAAATGTAAAAAAAGCCCATGTACAGTATAGTTTAGATATTTAGTCTCCAATCCATAAACATCACATCAGTAGCTGTCTGTGCATGCTGTATCTAAATTTACTTTTTTATTTTTTGTCTACCTCCATTTGTTTCTCTTACAATATATATATTTGTATCTATCCACTTGATTTACTCATACTGCTCTTTCATATTTTTACATATTTATTTTAACAACTGTTCTCAGTTTGTTTATCTTTCTTTTACTCATTTCTGCAAAAAAGAAAAAGAGTAAAGTTAAACTATGTACCTTTAGAAGCACTGAGACCTCGCCTGACTCCATACGCTACACCATTGTCCGATGTTTCTGTCCTCTGAATCCAAACAGTCCACTGTATGTAAGTAGAGTGAAAGCATCATCTACCTCGCCTCTTCCAAAGAGGACAGAAAATAGCCTTCAGGCGCGAATAGTTGAAGTACAACAAACAAACAGTTCAATAGATCTGAGCATAGAGAAAATATAATGAATGGAATTTAAATTTAGCTTTCTATACTGAGGCAAAGCATATTGTGATTCACACAAATATATTAGGAGTAGGGTGAATACAGAGAAAAAATAAGTGATATTTGTAAAAGCAAAGCGATGTGTAGTTTGAGCTGTGATAATAAATGCCCTGACTCCTCAAGAAAGACTTGACGGGTCTGCTCACTACTTGCTGCTGACGTTAAAGTGAATCAACCATGCCCTAATTATGCAAAGGAATGAATGGCTTTTGACATTTCTATAATCAATACACCTGAATTGTGAGAATTGAAATCCCCCTACATATTTGAGTAATAATTATTTAAGCTATTGTGGTAACTTATCATTTTTGAGCAACCAGTTACCCAAACAACAGAGTGAAAACAATGCTACCTCTCATCTTTAGTGAAGTAGCTTGTTGAAAAAAAAGTTCTTATAAGAAAACTGACAGTTGATCTATTTTGTCTCTATTCTTTTTTTGTCGTCTATTCTCCTCTACTCTACCCTTTCTCTCTCACTCTGCCTACATGAAGTTGACTGTGTGAATGCTGTCCTCATTCATTTTGTTGTCAATTAGATTAGATTAGAAAACTTCATTAATCGCCAGCAGGGACAATCATTGGCCATCTGGTCAATTCATTCACAAAACAAACATTATTCGACAGTACACAACAAGTAAATAAATAACAAACACCATTGAAACCAATTTACAGCCATGAGTCTGAAACACAACTAAAAATGTTCATTAAAATGTAGGACTGCTGCAGGAACAAAGGACCTCCTGAGGCATTCAGTGGAACATTTAGGCAACACTAATCGCTCACTGAAGGAGCTTCGGAGTCCATTAAAAACACCATGTAAAGGATTGTTTTGAAAGATTAAAACAGTTTTAAGTTTGGTCTTCATTCTCTTATCACAGATAACCTCAAGGGAATCTGGGGTAATGCCGATCCCAGAGCCAGCTTTTTTGATCAGCTTGTTGATTCTGTTGTTATCATCCACCCAGATGCTGCCACCCCAGCAAAGCACAGCATAAAATAGGACACTAGCCAATTTCGTTGCCTTGGGTAAGTAGACCTACTAGTACAGTATCATCCGAAAACCTTTGGTCATGACAGGACGCCTGACCATGCCTATAGTCAGCAGTGTAAAGTGTGAATAAAAAGTGAGATAAAACTGTGCCCTGTGGAGCTCCTGTGTTAGATAAGATCATGTCAGAAGATGGTGAAGAGTAAGGACTCTCCAGTAATGTACTTCAGAGTAGCCATGACATTATCGATGGGATGTAAGGGCCTGGGCCAACCCACTTGTGCTATTGGCCCACCCTAATGACTGGGAGAAGATGGAGTTTCCTTACTTTTACTTTTATAGATTCATATTTTATATCTAAAGGGAATTAACACCTAAAATGCTGTTTCCCTTATTAAAATGTGAAGAGTTTATACATTTCCAACTATCATGGGAAGTCTTGACCAATCAAATCCAGCCATTGCACGCTATCCAATCCTTGTGAAACTAGATCGTGTTGCATCGGGTTCTGTTAATGGGACGGAGATAGGGTTACATGTGGAGGACATGGACTCAACTTACCGTACCTTTTACTGATCCATCCCATCCACAGTGACGGCCAATGATTGTGAGAGAGTCACATTTATTTGCATAGCCTCGCTGTTCCTGAGACTGACAAACCCTAGAAAACAATGTGTGAGTGACAAGAGGCAGTATTAAATGACCCTGCCTGGTAGGATTGTCTTTATTTTGTTTTATACTCACATAGACGTTTTCTGTTCACATAAGCTCAAAAATAGTCAGCTTGGCACATCGCTCCCTCTCTAATTAAAAAACAGTGTAGCTTGCTCATTGGCCATAGCTCTCTCCCTCCCCGCTAACAACATGAACAGATATGAAGGTCATCAAAGGAGGGCTTTTTACTAGAAGTTACACAATAGTGTTCTGCCAAGAACTGTATGTATTGGTCTTTACCATCCATAATAAAAAACATAAAGGATTATTACTTGAATTGATCAGTATTTTTGCATTGGGCAATAAGGGCAGCATGTTACACTCAGGTGTTTTAATTATCACAGTATATGAGTGGTGGGCAGGTGAACAAAAGGCTGTCTCTGTTTAGTAAATGTTTCAGAAAAACATCATGAGCAAGTTCTTTTGAATTTAAAATATAGTAGAATGTTAGAAGGCACAACCATTTTAACTTAGGATATTAATAGGCTAAGGCCAATTACATGGGCCTATCCATTGCAAAAGCAGGTAACTCTGTTTAAAAAAATGTTATATAACTTTTTTAATTTATTATTTATTTCAGGTAATATCACTTAGACTGAAGTCGTGGGGCTTTGACCGAGTTCCCCATAGACTGTATTGGGTTTATGCACCAGAACAGATTTTGGCTCACATAACAGCTTTATTTAAAGTGCTAATCAAAACTCTCAGGGCACTGCTTTCCAGAATGGCTTTTATCGGATTTTGCAAATGAACTCTTGATTTACATTTATGTCTATAAATAAGATAATGGTGATGGCATAACTCTATTTATCCCATATTTTAAAAAATTTAAAAAAAAGTAAATAAGATGCTCCACATGTAGGATTGACAGCTGCAACAATAAATAAGTGAAAACGTCAGGGGAAATATTTGTATTTATTAACATTGTATACATTTTTCATAGGATATGGGCCATTCTGCAACATCAGTACATTTACATCAACATTTGAACTCTTAAGATTGAGAGACCAATCTACAGTCTACGGGTTGTTAAGATGTTATCTCACTGGAAAATAAACAGTACAAACTAACTCATTGTCATGAGATGGCTTTACGGCTTCAACAAGCACAGATGATATTTGATTTTCTTACTTGATGAAAATAACTCACAGCTAAGACAAGTTGTACAAAACATTGAAGTTACATTTATAGAAGTAATCGGTTAACAAGAAAAATATGACCAAATAGCAACCAGTTCACCCAATAGCACAGTCAAACTTCCTTTTATAGTTTAATGTAATATTTTTAGTTTCATGTAGTCTTTCTATTTGCCTGAATAACTCCTAATGTTTTCTAAACTTTCTCTAACTAAATAAAGCTGACCTTGTGCATCTCGTCATTAGAATTCTGTCATCAGTGATGGAGAGTGCATACAAGGACTGTTTTGTGCCCAAGTGCTTTTTTCAGATACTTAAATTACATTTGAATATTTCCATTTTCTGCTACTTTACACTTGTACTCCAATATGTGTCAGATGAAAATTGTAGTTACTCTATGAAGAAAAAACTTTACTGACAGTTAGTGGTAAAAATTGTGTCATACAAAAATATAAATTGGTATTAATAAACAACACATATTGCAGGACTGATACTTCTTACAGTAGTAGTTTAGCTTTTACTTCGGAAATATACAACTAAACTCTATACTGATGTCCCATAAAATCTCAAAAAGCTTATTAAACCATTAGTTGGACATTTACATTCTACTTTTGAGTTAGTCAACTGAGTTGGTGCAAAACGATGTTCAGTCTGCAGACAGTCAGACAGTTGATTATATTTTCTATGGGTAACATTTCACATTTCAACATTTCAAGTTGTCTTGGATAGTTTTAAAATCTTACAAAATGAAAGTTCCTCAAAGTTGCTTTAAGTAAAAGATCAACCTACATCGACACTGACTGAGGATCATTGCTTTCTTTTCTGCAACAACCCACAGCAGCCAGAAGCTTGTCTATGGTCCCTTTCCTGATGAAAACATACAGAACTAAGTTTGCAAGAGGACTGCACCTAAGAAAGATGTCAGACACTATGAACAAAGTATAGGAAATTAATTTGCTTTTCAGGATGGTAATGAGAAAGGGCAGGAACAGTAGTGTGTAAATCAGCAGCACAAGGACTAAAATTCCAACAATTCTTCGTTTTTCATCTGAGGGGACCGAGATGGAAGTAGAGAGGGCTCTGACGGTCCCAACCAGGAAGAATATGAGCAGTGGGAAGGGAAGCAGAAAAGCAACGCAGGTGGTTTTATATGAGAAGTTGAAGACAATGGAACTGGCCCAGACCACGGCACAGACCACCACAGACATATTTTTGGATCGATTGAAGCGGTACCACAGTGGCTTGGCAATGACTAAATACCTGCAAATAATAGGTACAAGTATAAATAATTAAAACCATGTCTTCATCAATATATTTTTACAAAATGGCGCAAATTGCAATACATTTATAAAAGAGAGCAGATGAATGAAAACATGACAAAAACAGAACTTTACCAAAGTAATAACTGCAGGGGGACTTTAAAATGTAAAACTTTATCAGTAATACAAAGATTTAAAACAACAAAGCATGGCTGACACCCTCAAGCAGGACATTTTAAAGTCTTAGCCAGCAAAACCATAAGATGGACATATTGTCTTTGAGTAGCATCAGAATTGTAATTATGAATAGCAGGAGAAGCACACAAACTAGATTGACAGATAGCTACCTTTCAAGGGCGAGACAAACCATGAAGCCAACACTGGCCAGCACAGCCATTCTGTAAATGAAGCTGGAGATGTATTCCCATATCTGTAGTGCCCCCCAAACAGTCAAACAGCTGAGCTGAATAACATCAGAAATTAGAATGTTGATGACGTAGAAGGGAGCCCCACGATCATTTCGCACCTGGAGGAAAGCATTGGCTCAAGTTAACAGACAGTTGTAAACATGTTCTGAAGTCCTCCTTCTCCCATATATGTCATCAAACTTGGTAAATAAATATCATATGTCACACTGGTCATTCACTGTTGTGCCAGGACTTTCTGCAGCTATTGCACATGATTTTTTTCCCACACGCAGATATAACGCATTCTGGCCCAAACACATACACGTACAAGGTCAAACACTCGATACGGTATCATTATTTCAAGACCGCAAAAATTACAAATGGAGACATGTTAACAGAAATTACTTGAGGGCTCATCTTCACTGGATTTACTGATATGGACGAGCTGTAATTATTATGTTAATTGGTTTTGCCAGAAGCACAAGCAAACGTGTGGTGGAATAGACATAAATGTATCAATTAAAAGCCTAAGTTACTATATCACTAAAAGCTATAAATAAGTGAAATGAAAAGATACTATCAGGTTTTTACTGAATAATATCAGTATCCAAACCCCATCCAGCTCCACCTGCTCTTTATGTCTCTGTCTCTGTGATTGTGAATTGTTTGTTTTAGTGATTTTTAATTTTCTATTTTAATTTATTTTTTCCCCCCTCTGTCATGATGCTTTTGATGTTGTGAATTTGAATTGCCTTGTTGTTGAAAAATTCTATATAAATAAACTTGCCTTGCCTGTCAACCAATTTTGTTTTCTTGTCATTTATTTGTGTCTCAGTTAATCAGTAAATCTCAAAATGTACTTACCATGAAAAACACAGAATAGATGGCAGCCATGGTCAAAGGAAGGCAGATACTAATGATTACAAATGTTGCCACACGTTTGATAAAATTAAGAGATTTATATTTGTCATAATCATAGTCTTGGTCGATTTCACTTTGACCATAGCTTTCATTCTGTGAGGTGTTGTTCAAAAAATCTTCCATTCTTCTTACAGAAACCTGTTGTTGGAGAAATCATTGAAAAGGAGAATTCATTCTTTACTTGTCATTTAAAATTATTCAGTTTACTCACAGTGCTTACTACTTTAAAGCAACCTCAGGTGTTAAATGAAGCCAATGCAGAAGTGCAAAAAGCAGCGTTTCCATCATAGTGTCGGCTCCAACATTCAAGGAAACCCCATTAGAGCCCATATTAAATACTCATTTGTATTTCTGGACTCTAAAGCTCATTTCTTTATTCTTAATAAGTCTAAAAGGGAGAACATGTTTTATAACTCATCCATTTTAATTACATTAGGGTAAGAGTTGCAAGAGGCTAGGTTTCACTTAGCTAAATCCTATTGCTGAACTTTAACTCTCAATTTTCCTCATAATTATTTTCATCATCTGTTACATGCAAGCTAGACGACAAGATTGGCATGTTTCAGCAGACAAAATATCAATGTCAGCTCCACCTCTTCCTAGTTTGTAGATTAGCCAGAATATTAGTTGGATTTGGCATTTCCAATACGGCGACCGCTATCATTTGGCTTTATATCTCCACTTAAGAAACAATTTGTTGATGTCATTGTGATTACGTCTATGTTTTATACATTCCTAACTTTTGAGGTACAGACAGTTCTAGCATCTAGAGCTAGAGCTTTAGAGCCTCAATGACGGCCCATCTGTTTTTGTGTCTCAGGCCCAAAACTAACAGTCACTGCACTTGCTCTGCTTTTGGCTATGTGTGCTCTGGAATGACACGCCTCAGGAAATCAGGTTCTTATATTCAAGATATTCACTGTTTTCCAACAGTCCCCTGTGGTCTAAATGAAACATCTGTGCTGTGCTTTGGTCAAAATTAAACATGAATCAAGCACCAGAGGAGGTTTGTGACCCTGTAAAAAGCAGCTCTCTCAGTGCGCTCTGTTTTGGTGTGTGTGTCTCTTTAAAACGATGAGCCCCCCCTGAGTTTTCCCGGTAGACATCAATCCTCTGTAGCGAGAATAAAAATGGCAGACCTGCACAAAAGTTTTGTTCTAGGCTGGGGATGGAGTCCATGGATGGAGGGTATTTTCGTTTACCAGAATCCAGCTTGTGACATCACAAGCTGAGCAAATTTGAAACGGACCACTTTTCTCTGCGTTATTAGACTTATGCAGAACACAAACATGTGTTTATTTCACATTTTGTGGGTCTGTAGACACTCAGGTTACCCAAATATGTGTCAAAAATACTGTCAAAGTGGATTTTTCATAATATGTCCCCTTGAAGAGTTTGGACTTTTTTTTATTTTATCATAATTTACTTCTACTTTTATAACACTATAGCAAACTCCTCTATTTGTATTATTTTGTGATTCCTTGGTTGATGTGTTTGTACTTGAATCTGACTCAGACATACAGTTTATAACCCATCAATTCTGTTTGGTTTGGTTTCCTTTTAATGTTGCTCCTTTCAGATTTTATTGTTTGTAAAGCACTTCATAAAAAACATATTGAAAAAATGTAAGAAGAATAAGGAAAATAAGAATAATTAAAAACTAATGTCCCTTTTCAAAATAAAGTATATTTAAGCACATTGTTATCCCTTCAAGTTAGTTACTATGACTTGATGTGCTGTTACAAGTTGTTGCACATCAGTTTCTAGTATTTCTAAAAGTTAAAGAGAAGAGTGATATAAAACTATTGATTATCATCTCATCATACATCTATTGTCCAAACTATTTTCTTGTTATATGTTGAAAAGTACATTTGCAGTTCTTTTATCCTTAAAAAAATGTTCAGATCCAAAATAGTTAAGTCGGGATATTTACCTTTGTAAGCAGCAAGAGCTCTCCTGAATGTGTCACCTACACTGATGGGTGATGTTATGCGCTCTACATCCAAACAGTCTTATATATGCTGAGTGATAACATCTAGAAGGTCGATAATAGGAAAATAGTATTCAGGCATGGATATGTAGAGTACCCTAGTACAATCATTTGAGAGTGTAAAAATACAAAGCATTATAAGGTAAAATCAACCCAATCAATCCAGTCTTAAGGTTTGTTTTTGCTGCTTTCATGTTGCACTGAATCTCTCTTTGTTTTAGCATCTGTTTTTTATGAATACATGTGTAAATTGATCCTCCATTAAACTACACAATTAATGCATGTGTCTTCTGTTGAGTAACAAAGTTTTATCTGTTAAAATGTCTGGCTTTCAATCATGTTTATTTTATTTTATTTTTATTTTGATATCCTTTATTAATCCCTGAGGGAAATTCAGGTTTATGTTGTTGCCTGTTGTTTATAAGGACATGTTTCTCACACACATAGGCCCGAATCACACGCATGCACAAACAGGACCTGTGGACATGCATTGGTGGAGAGATGTCAGAGTGGGGCTTCTGCAAGCTGCTAAGCAGAGAGCACACCAGAGCACTTGGGGGTTCAGTGCCTTGCTCAAGGACACCTCAGCAGTGCTCAGGAAGTGCCCTGGCACCTCTCCAGCTACCAGACCAACTTCCAGATTTGGTCTGCACCTGGACTTGAACCGGCGACCCTCCGGTTCCCAACCCAAGTCCCAACGGACTGAACTACTGCCGCCCCCAAATCAATTAATCGATTATCTATAAAGTGGCAAATAATAACAAAAGTCACATGTCCAGACCAGGGCTATTCAATTACAAATTCAAAAGGCCAGATTTGAAAACCCTAGACATTTAAGCAGGCTGGACATTTTCAGCAGCTATCAAAGTCATTTTTTTCTGCGTTTGCTCGAGGCCCATTTTTTATGAATGCCAATGAATGTAGTACAATAAAAAAAACGTTTATTTTTGTTTCACTTAGTCACATATGATGTGACACAGGCACATCAAAGGGCATGACCAGAATGGACTCAATGTCATCACTGCACAGAACCATAGACAGTAGCCAAAACCAGTAACAAAATCATATTTCTCTCTGCCTGTTTGTACTTCTTCCTCCGCCGTGTCTACCATCCTCACACAGAAAACCAGTTTGATTCACATTATAAAACGAAAGACTTTTGGTCACAGAGGCACATTCAAGTACATGGACATTATTAAACCATTTAATCAGTGTTAACATTGCATAGAACATAACAAAAAGGTGACAACATTAACTTTTTGATAACACACACTCCCTCTCTACAATTATCTCCCTCTAATCTGTCAGCCACATACAAAGCAATGTTTCACTTTTTGAAGTGCAACAACGGAATGAAGAGCTCTTAATGCCATATCAGATTTGTCTTGAGTAGCCTATTGATAAAAGTTGATTGATTGATGATGTTATTAGTATGTCACACAGAGTAGCTATAATAATACTGAAATGATTGAGAGCTACCTCGCATACACTGGCCAACACATCCAAGCATCGGCGGTGGCGGCGGCTGTGGCTCAGTTGAGTCATCGTCTCTTAACCGGAAAGTCGAAGGTTCAACCCACCAGACAAGCGCAGCAACTTGTCCGATGTGTCCTTGGGCAAGACACTTAACCCTGAGCAATTCGTGGACCGAATAGCTCGAATTGCTGCTCTGTTGGTGGAGTATGAATGGGTATAAATGGGATAAGTTACTTCTGATGGTCTCACTACATAGCAACCTCTGCCATCAGTGTGTGAATGGGTAGGTGTGACATGCGGTGTGAAAGTGTTTTGAGTAGTCAGAAGACTAGAAAAGTGCTATACAAGCTCAAGTCCATTGACAATTTACCAAAGCTGTAAACATTAGACGTTATCTTTACTGTCTTAGACCGATCCCTCAGGTGCTGCCTTCAAATGATCAAGCAGCGAAGTCGAATGAAGTAAAAGAGAAAGTTAACGACGTTGTAAAAATGCTTTTAAATTTGTGTCAACAGAAACATCAGGCATGACACACAGACAAATCAGTGTGGTAACAGGAAACAGCTTTTGCACTTGTCTCTCAAGCACACCTTAACCCATGTATTCTGGCCTTGTTTTATCAAATACATTGAAGAGACAGTTAGGGTGTCATATTTGTTTTTGCAGGGTTCAGCTCTGATCATTTATTCTGTATTTCAGAGAGGATTGTAAAAGTGATAATGGGAGACATGTTCACCACAGTTAAATATGTGTTACACTGGATTCACTTACTTTGGGAGGTAAAAAAAAAAAAAAAAAAAAAGGGGTTAATTTCTCTTAACCAATTTAGGTCATCACTTTTTTCTTTATCCCTTCATTCACTGGTATTTAGTACAATCAAATGGAAGACAGTATAATGAAAAAAATGTATTTAATCATTGTTTTGTTAGTCTGCACAATATTTTGCAGTTCCTTTATCTTTACTGTATATAACTGTAATACAATAGAACAAGTAAAGACACAATATTTGCCTTTGAAAGCAGTGGGATCATCTGTTTGAATAATGCATTGTCTTCTTTATGCAAACAGTCCACTGTAAATAGACTGAGTGATAACATCTAGACGGTTGATAATAATCTTCAACAGCACATCTGAATACAATAGCATAGCCAATAGGTTGAAGAGGGGCAGGGAAGTATTATTTTTAATTTGATTTCTTCTCCCCACCCCTCCCCCTCCCCCTCCCAACCGCCTTTAAAAACCAACAAAGAAAAATACCTGCACACCTCAGCAATGCCAGCAGGAGGCAGTGTGGCGCTGTTCTTCTCCCATGCACAGGCTATGGCAGACTCTCTTGTTGCTTCCTCATTCTACTGAGCCAAGCTCAACTGAAATGAAGGACTGTTGCCTGTCTCATTCCTTCTTCTGTTTAAAAAAAATGTGTAAATGTTTACAAATATTGTTTACAATTTTTACAGCCTCCTTAACCAAATTAACTAAATCAAGGCAACAATGGAGACCAGAACATAGCTATAGGACGCCACACAGATGTAAGGTCTTAACCCCAGCTTTATTTGCCTGTAAGTAGTATAGTAAATAGTTTTCTGTCTCTGGTGAGACCAGAGGATTAGAGAGGCCGTTCAAGATGAGCTCCATGTCTGTCTACATTCATCCTTATGTATGCTCGTTGTTTCAAACACAACATTAATGAATGACAATATAACAAACTCCCAGGCAACAACAAACATTCCAAGGCACTAGCAATGTGCTAGTTTCTCTTTTATTGACACTGTGAGAGTAAGGCTTCATAAGGGATTTTTTAATAGACCAGAACACTGTACACATTCAAGTGTGTAAAGGCAACTGAGGCAAGCTGGAAAAAGAAAGAGGCAGCAAACTTCATAGAACATCGTACGGCCTTACAGACATGTCCACTTACTCAGCCCAAACCGCCCCATAATCACCTGCTGTGTTCACACAGGTTGAAGCCCTTTTAAACAATTTCCCTCTCACATCCCTGAGTAACACCTGAACATTCTTTTGGAGTGCAGTGCATTTGTGGAGAATATTTTTGTCACCCATCTAGCAGTATAGCTTTAGGGAGAATCACTTAAGCTGTTTTGGAACATAGTTTCTACGTATTGCTCTCTCTTATTTGCGTTTACCGTTGAATGTTCCTCGAGTGAGATCGGAACTGGGAAAATCTGCTTTTTCTTATTCTGCACCGGACTCTTGGAACAACATACAGCATCTTCTTGAGGGAAATTAACTTTTACATTTTGGGCATTTTAGAAACCAGATTTTAAGCCTCCCAACCTCTGTTTGTAACTGTTTTACATAAGTGTGTTGATTTATTGCAGTTTTGTACTCGCTTAATGATCTTAGTACATTTTAGAAATTTGTAGACTGATTTTATTAGTCTTGTATTATCTGTCCCCTGTTTTTCTTTTTGATTTAATGTCTGTTTTCTAATGCTTTCTGTAATGACTCGATGTCATTGTAAATGAGGGTTGCCCCTCAATGATCTTTCGAGTATAAATAAAGGTTGAATGAATTTATGTTGAAAAAAATGTACATCCTAAATTCTGTAAGTGTTGAAGATCATGTAAAACAGTGCAAGCTCCCTAGTGTTAACTTATCAATCAATCAAAATGATTTATAAAGCACATTTAAAAAGAGCACCAGGTTACAAAGGACTGTAAATGGAACTAAGAACAGTATAGTGTAGTTACAGAAAAGGAGAAAAACAACCACACAGATAAACTCGCACATACATGTGTGCCCAAAGACAAATGCACAAAAATGAAATTAACAATAAAGACAATTAAATAAGAGAGGTTAATTAATAATACTAAATGTGATACAAAATACAAGCAACCTCATTTGAACTGAAATTCATTATGTAAAAGTTCATTTGGTTTCGGGACATAAACTGTTCCACAGAACATGATTGAGGCAGGAAGGCCGTTCCACAGCTTGGGGGCCTTTGTTGTAAAAGGTAGTTAGCCTCTAAGCTTCTGATTAGAACAAGTGACAGCCGGAAGGCCCATGTCTGAAGATCTAAGGGCTGAGGAGGTAAGTTATGCAAGAGGGTGCCAAACAAATATTGCAACCTCAAAATCAAGCCTGAAGAGTATTGGAAGCCAGTGAAGAGAAGCTAGAATTAGAATTAGAATTAGGCTGACATGATCATTGGTACATTTTGTACAAGTCTGGACAGGAATCACCGGTTGATCCCAGTGTGTCCTCACAGTGTACTTTTGGGTCCTCACAGAGGGGTTTTCTTTTTGGCCAAATTTGTCGGATAGTTTGATAACGTCCTTTGTGATGTTACTATCGAAAATGAAGCTCTTGCGTAAGTTCAGTCAGGAAGACTATATAATTGCTCTTTTGCATGCTCACTCACTTGTCCGCTGTCATTCTCAAGCTGTCATTGTCTCGTCAGCGGTACTCATCTAACCAATTGCATGGCCCCATTTCAGCCTATCATCATTCTGCTCCCATTTTAAATATGATTCTTTTTCTGCCTTAGTTCCTTAATGCCGATGTTATGTACGCCCCTCCACCTCCCCATCGCCGCCCATGTTCGCAGAATCATCATCCATCAATTCTCACCCATCAGGTCTCAACAGGTCATCGGCTTTACCACCACCAGTACCTGGACTCCATGGGGGGGATTTATTCTGTCCAAGCGCCAAAGTATTTCTATCAACATTTCCATGTTATCCATTGTAAAAAAATATTTTCTTAAATAACTTGTCTCTCCTGATTGAAGTATTGCTCATATGGCCTATACACCGCTATGCAAATTGGGTTTTTTGGTCATTTAAATAAGCAAAAATATGCATACAATATGCATAAAACATCCTTTAGAACTCGTCTATCCTATGAGATGCTGAAACTTGTTTAATACAGATTTATGTTTACAATTTTGGTATCAATCTTCTTTTATGTTCATCATTCTCCATGTGACACAATGGAGTTCATTATCTAGCTCCTCCAACTGTTTGAAAAACAAGTCCATTGTTGTATCAACCTTTTTCTTTCCATCATGAGGTGTATGTTGTTAGGAGAGGTACCGGTAGTTACATTTTGTTTGATCATGATCGATTCATTTCAACAAGTTGATTTCAACATTGGATCTAAGACACCCCCATTCTCACTCAGAGGTTGTGAGTTGTGAGTTCCATTGCTGTTGGTACCGTTCATCTGTAATGACTGTGTTTCTAATGGTCTTGGTGACGGGTGCTGGACTTTAACTAAAAACACGTCCCACTTCTCAGGCATGAGTCCTCTGTTGAAGAGCAGAGAAGCCAGATAGGAGACCAACAGAATTGTTGCAAAAGAAACCAGCATACAGATGGTCCTGACAGGGGCATACTGAATGTAAACCCCGTCTTCGAGGATGCATCCTGGGAAATGGATGACAGGTGGTAGCCCTATCAAGGGCTCTCCACACAAAAGTCTTACAAAGAAACCCAGAAAAAATCCCATGGTGGCACCGTAACCATTGGAGATGTTGAAAAAGAGCACGCAGACCAGCTGTGGGAACATAATAATGTAGGCGATTTCTCCACCCAGGACCCAGAAAGCCATAACACCAGTGTGCAGAAAGGTGAGCGACGTACCAGCAAGGCCAAATAAAACCACAGCAATGCGAATCACCCACCCAATCTCATTCTCTGAAGCCTGCAATGAAAAGAAATAGAGAAAAATTTATTGTTGGTGCAATGCATTTTCAACAAAACATAGGTGAATATGGTGTTATTGAGAACAGGTAGATTATATTTGCACATAAGGACGTCTGAACACTAGGGGGCACTGAACACACTCTAAACACACCAATGATGTCATCGCTTTGCAACAACAATTGAGAAAATATTCAACCTTTTTTAGGTCGATCTTACAACGTTTTCTAGAGACAAGTGCATTGGTAACCCATTATTGTGATGGACAGGCTTTCGCCAAAGAGTAACATGGCTTTGATTTTTACCAAATCATTTTCAAGAAAATTCAAAAATTAATCCAAAATTTTAAGGGTGGAGCAGGTGAAAAACCTTTACTTATCCATACAAATCTTGAAAAAACCCGGAACACCTGCATAACAATCATCATCCCCTTACTGCTCTTCGTAAACAGTCAGAGATAGTAAGTTTCATTTTTAAATATTTACTTAAAAAGTATTTCTGTGTATTTAATGTCATTTTAATGTGCAAATTGTTTACAGCATAATCCTCCTTTGCAAGATCTGTTCTTTTTGACAGTCTTTTTTATACTTTTGTGACCACATTTTTTAGTTATAACCTACAAATATTAGATGTTTTACAGTTTCCTCATCCATGTTTCCAATATAATGGGCTTTGTTCTGAAATCCATGCTCCTTGTTTCTAGAATTTAAAATGATGTAAAAAAAAAAAAAAAAAAAGAACCTGTGCAACATTTCCATCTGCTAAGCCATTCTTTTCTACCCTCTTTCCCCATCTTTACCTTGGTCCTCAAGATCTTCTTGTAGATATTTGAGGAGAAGATGGAGGCTGCAGACAGCAGGGCAGAGTCGGTTGATGACATCACGGCGGCAGCCACGGCTCCGATGCCGACGACGGCGATGTAGGGGGGTGTTAGGTGTTGCAGGGAGAGGGGTAGAATCAGACCCGTCTGACCTCGCTCAAACGGAGATGGAGAACCATACGAGGTCAGGTTCCAGTCTGGGAAATGGAAGAAGTACAGGATTAATCAGTCAATCTGATAGGTTTATTAATGGCAAAAATACTATCTGAACACTGTCACTATGCTGGAGAAGCTAAAACAAGCTTAATGTAACCTTTCAGACAGTATTTCTAATATGACGGCTTTGGGTTTCAGAACAAATAATCACCAATTTTTTATTAGTTATTTTTCTTTGAATTACTTTTTTGATAGTGGGCCAAGTCATGAAACCATAAAGCATAAAGAGAAAAAATAATCCCTGCTTTTCCTTTCTGCTAGTTTAATCTTAAAGGAGATCACCAAATGTAAAATGTACAGTGAAGAATCACTTTATTCACTGTAAAACCAAACATTGCAATTGAACAAGCATCGTAGTACCCTGAAACTTTAAAGCAAAGCAGTGCCCAGTCTTTTTTTTTTTTAGAAATATTCTACAGTACTACCACAATATAACGTTCCTTCACTGGAATCGCCCAACAGTTTCTCATTTAAATGAGAACACAACACTAGATTGGGTTTTATGTACGTATGTGCACCTGTCGATGCAGCCACTGCACCAATGAGCACAGGAGGAATTCCAAACGTGGGGATGAGGAATGCAGCAGCGTAACATCGCAGCTTGGCTGTTCTTGAGGAAGAGGCTGATAACGTCCTTTGGTGGAAATCCTGGAAACCAAGGTCTCCTACACTCTGAAGAAAGAGTCAATTCCCCAAATTAGCTCCAATCATAAGCCAGCACATTTAACAACCCTCTGAAATCACATAGCAATGTGTGAATCAACATGCATTTCTGTAAGCCTTAACTTTAACTCCATTCATCTTTATAAAAACATTAGATTGGATTAGAAAATATGTCACAATGCATTGCCCAAACAATTATGGACAATAATCTAAATATAAGAATCTATTTCTGTGATCTTGCTGTATCCACTTATTATGTGAGCTTTTCTTCTGCTGCATGTTGAGGGGCTTCATGCGTCTCCATTAATGTGAACGTATCAGCGGCTTTCCACAATCTCACCAGGAGTAAAAAGATATCGATCCACCTCCAGGCTCTGTCTGCAGTCACAGTGCCAACCCAAGGAGCCTGAAAGGTGTGGTTTAAAGATGTGGTGGTGATGTCAACAGAGGTGGGGCTCATTAGGAGGAAAGGTACACACAGCCACTGAGGAGAGGGAGATACAACATAAACACACACTAAAGCCTGGCACACAGCGACGATTTTGAAAATGTGAGAGACCCCACACATGACGACGACTCCTGACAGATTATCAGTTCAGTTCTGAAAGTGTGTGGTGTGTGACGACATGACCAACTCAGCACACCACACACTGCTGTTGTTTTCCAGCACACATTGTAAAAAACACTCGTGTTGTTGCAACAAAACAACAAGTTGGTCCTGAATTTATGACGTCCATCTAACTTTATGTTTCGCGTTTGCTGTTGTCACCATGGTAATGTTTGTTGTGCTTTCTGCTTCAGTCAGCTTGCATCCCTATTGGCTATTGACCCGTTCCACATGGCAATTCACAGAGTCCGTGCCCGGCCGTCCACATTGTTTTCCCCACACAACAGGATTTCTTCCGTCTTCTGAGCAGATCGGGGAGGTTAAAATCACTCTTAACACAACTCACACTACAGGAGAATCTGGCAAGCTGATCTTTAGATCCATCAGATAGCTGACGGGCATTAGCTCGGGCATTAAATAACAGCCAAGGTGTTCTGTAGTTTTGCAGTTAATGCAGGAATGCAGACACAAGGAAGGAAAAACACAAGGCAGTAAAACAACTTTAAGATGACTCTTACGGCTGTATGTTTCCCTGTGCTGTTTGTCCCTTCTCCCTTTCTGTTGTCTCCAGCCCAGGTGAAACTACTAATTGAACAACGAGGCACACCTGGCCTCAGTGCTTAAAAGCCCAGTGCTGGCTGCAGGAAGAAAAGGCATTTTGGATTTGGGACTGCTGTGCCGCTCAGTCAGGGAGTGGCTGTTGTGTTTTGTTTCTATGTGTCCTGACAGTAACTAGGAGAGGAGGTTATTACAGGTAGAAAGGGAGTAGCTGGAGGGAGGGACAGAAATGCAGAATGTAACAGTTACCACAACACCTGCAATCAGTATTTCAGTGATTGGCAGGAAACATGGCATCATACCTATTGATAGTATCGGAAAAATGCTAATAACACTTGGCTAGCATTATGATATGATTGAAAATTGGTTAGGTGTCAGCATCTTAACTATTAGTTTGGTTGTTTAGGGGATTTGGATTACAAAGTTATTATAGCATATGTGGTGACAACGTTGTGGCGTTAACTTAAAGCCAACTTGATGTGAGGTGTCCTGGGTGAAATAAGAGTAGCGATTTGACTAACTTTAAAATGTCTATGGGATGAAATCAGAAGTGGTTGAGCAAATTACCGAGGTGATGAATATCAGAGAGAGCTGTATGATGTCTGTGTAGGCCACAGAGTAGAGACCCCCCAGCAGGGTGTAGGTGATGGCCACAGCAGCAGAAATCCAGATGCACACAGCGTAGGACAAATCAAGGATCACACTCATGGTTACACCTGAAAAACACACATGCTGTTGCCATGTACAGATTCATTTCAAAATACACACACCAACAAATAGAGACATGGAACATAACTGTGTGTATCACTAACAAAGAACTGCTGCAATGCCAACTGCTTTAACCCCAAAAAATGTGTGAAATGGTTCAAAATTCTACAAATTGTGATTCCATATAGAAAAAAAAAAGATGTGATATTTGTGTTGAATCACCTCAACTGATGTGAATTATCGAAAATTCTAGTAACAGATATACCAGTGATTCAATACACAAACACAACTTTCACCTCAGCAGCAGTTTGACTGAATTTGCATGCAGTTAAACACACAAAACACATGTTCATACACATCATGATGCAGTCAATGTATTACCCAAGCTTATCAGCGTTGATGTCACCCAAATGATTTCTGACAACAGCGGTGCCACGGACAGAAGTCCAGTCAGTCCGTGTCCATACTTGATCTGGAAAGGGTCCATCATGGTCACGTACTTTCTGTCTCTCATTGGCTCAGCAAAGAAAAGACCACCTTGAAAAGAAACAACAATAGAATAATAAACAACAGCAGAAACTTGAACTGAATTGCCTCTTTCATGTTGTATTTAATGTCTGTTAAGCTTTTACAAATCCCTGCGTCCTGCTGTAAATAGGAAAACTAAATGGTTAAATCACACCAAAAAAAAAATGATTTGCTTATCAAGCCAAAGGCTACAACTTGAATGAACAATGAATCTGGTAGAATATCATCAGAAGCTGGGTGCTTAAAGAAAGTGAGAAGTTGAATTAAGCATTCTGATAAATCAAACCTGTTAACAGGGATCTAATGTGATTCAAGTCAAGTGTATTAAAGCAGATTTCAGCAACAAGGCAATTCAAAGTGCTTCACACAAGATATCAAATGCATCAAGACAAAGAGAAAAATAAATATTCAAAAAGAACATTTTAAAAATCACTAAAACTAGGTTTGCAACGTATCTCAATGAAAATATGAGACAAGCCCGAACTTATTTATATCATTTTCTATCAAACAGAAACTGGCTGGTAAAGCGTTCATATTTGAAACGCTTCTTCATCCTTTCTACATTCTCTCACCCCGTCTGCATCATGATGGTAACAGCTGGTGGGTACGTGTGTCAACAATCAGTGGCTTCATGTTAGTAGCCTCATGTTACAAGTCTGTTCTGCTGTAGTCTGTTGATATAAACTTGAAAGCAAACTCTGATACAGAGAGCTCTGTTTGTTCCAAAATGAAAACATAGTCCCTAAACTAGCACACATGTATCTGCTAAATGAACATTGTGTGTGTGTGTGTGTGTGTGTGTGTACGCATACGCCCTATGATGTTCAACTCCAAAAACTTCAGGTGCACCAAAATGCACCTGTAAAGTACAAATTTACAGAATTTCTGCAAATATGGCATATTCAGCATCATGAGTTATCCTATTAAAATGTGACGCCTGTCTACATTACTCATAGGCTATTTATCTTGGTTTTAACAAAATACTGTACTTTTTCAAATTTTTGCCTACTTTTCTATTTTTTGTTCCTTTGTTCTGCAACAGGAAACCAGATGTTTTTTTTCTTCTCAGTGGACTAAACTGCAGTGTATACATATCCCAAAGTGTACCTTAAGTAACATTTTAAGTGTGTGTTTTAAGTGTCATTGAGCAATGAACACAGGCAAAATTATACCTCTAAGTAAACTTGAAAAGCTCAACTAGAAAAGTGTATCTTACCAAGAATAAAGGCCAACGTTGCTGCCAGTGGCATCACAGCCCAAATCAGTCCCAACTTTGGATCATACACTGTCTCAGCTGTGCCGATGATGAAAGTCCCGCCAACCCAGGTAGCTGCAAGATGATAAATACAAAACATATGTTAAACTTGTTTTGCAATTTTCAAACTTCTTAATAATTTTATTCCTGAATTTTCAATTTTGTTATCCTTGAAGTTAAGCAAGTGTTTCAGCCCAAGACATGATCATTGTGACATGTCAACTAGACACAAAGCTATCTGCAGCTACAGACTGTTACTTCAGTCGTAACAGTTTTGGAAAACATTTGATGCATTCGCATGGCCAACTTGTGAACTAAATACCTTGGAATGAGGAAAAAAAAAACATGTAAAATAGGGATGCAGCAATTCTCAAAATAATATTGAACTTTTCATTACGTCATCCATGGTTCAATATGCGCTTATGAATTGCGTTTTTTTCTGTTATGCATAAGACTAGCTTCCATGCATTTTATTTCTTCTTAGTTCGTCGAGGATCCGCTTATATGGGGCGCCAATTGTAAAGTTGCGCACTACAAAAAACTACAACATTTCTCCACATTTATCACTTTTTATTCACATTTAGAGAAATATTTGTGAACTTTGTCAAATTTACTTTTGTGAATAAAAAGATAATTTCATTGGCAAATATAAATGTTAAATATTATATCTCAATGTTGAATGTTTTATCTAAATGTTAAATGTTATATATAAATGTTAAAAATACATGTCCTGATTCTAAATATTGAGCTACGTTTATTTACACGTTATTAGTGTGCGCAACTTTACAATCGGCGCCCCATACGCTTAAGGCTGGCTCTAGGAGAAGTCACATACACACAACAGCCAAAAAAGGCTTTTCTTTACTACAATTAACATTAACAGCCTGGTACAAAAAAACAAAGAAGGTCTGATTAGCTCATGTCTGCCATCAATGGGATTCCAATACCCCCTGCAGATGGGTGACGTCACTCAGTCCATTCGGCTAAATCCTATCGGTCCATGCCTCAATGCTCAGGGACAAGGGACAAGGAACCCTAACTCACCAGTTGTGGTAAAGATGCCGACTACCAAGCTTATCTTTCTGTCTCCCAGCAACGCCATGTCTGCATGGTTGGCCTGTGTCCTGTTCCTGTCCCGTTTGGATTTCATGGAAGCCCATATACCAATTCCAAGCACCAGAAGGTAGAATATGATGGTGGCTACAAGTCCTGGAACATTAAGAGCCATGATGGTGTCTGTCCTGGCGCAGTGCAGAGTGTGAAGAGCAGCGTGTCTTCCTCACAGCCTCACAGCAGTGTGTCTTCCTCACACCCTTAAACTGGCTTGCTGACTGTGCGGATGTTGAGGGAGGGGTTTGGCTGCCTGAGCTGATTTGCATTACTACTCCACAAATAAATAGACTATTTTTATTGCCCACTCCCAAAATAAAATAAATTAAACACACTCAAAAAATGAAATAAGAAATATTTTGGATATTGGGAGACATTCCTCAGAAAATGTTATGCTTTCTCAGGAGATATTTTATAGGAGTAACCTATAAAGATTTACATAAAATAATCTGTTGTTACTATGGAGGGGTTTTGGGTTATATTTCCGGATGAGTCTGTTATTAAAGAAATGAATGATCTTGTTGTAGTTTTAGTTGATTTGCAAGTAATTTACCCTTTGCATTTCAAAACTCTAAATGTTCGTGCCGGTGTTTCAGGAAAGTATGTTCCATTTTCTTGTTAAGTAGCCTATATCTTTTAGTTCATCTTTGGTTCGACCTCTTCACCTCCTTCTGTAGGTTATCTTCCTTTGCAATTTCTTATTTTTTTGTATGAACGGTATGATATTATTTTTTCCTCTCATGACAGTATTTCCAGTTTCCCGTTGTGTGCACGCTGTTATTCCTGGAGTGTTGTTGGATTCGATGAAGGATGCTCATTCCTGTTTTAAGCTTTGAGAAGTGAATTGTTGAAGCGCCATGTGGGGGGAAGGGCAAGTGGATAATATGCGAGTCAGGGAAACCACATAGCACTGTGAATAAGGAATTAAAAAGGGGGATGAGTCTGAGGCCATGGATGTTTGCCAGAGTCAGAATGTATTTTCCTATAGTTTCAGTGATGATGATATAGCCTAACTACCTTCTGGGTCTGTTTAGGCCCCTACTTAAGAATTCAGCTATTAAATATGAGAGGGAATGGAGAGGGAAGTGTGTCATGGGGTTGGATAAATACATTTAGATAAAAGGGTAAAAGAAATAATAAGTACTACTAATAATCGAAAAAAGGATAGGTAAGCTAAACTAGAAAGAATGGTGAAGATATGTATATCTTACAAACACAAACACACACTCTCTCACACACACACACACACACACACAAATACACACTCCACTCTCTGCCCTTTGTTTCCCTTATTGTTTACCTGCACTGATGTTTCCAGCAGTGTTTAATTGTTCCCACTTGCCTTACTATTAAGTCTCTACGGTATGGTGTGGATAGATGGTATGCCATGCCTTAATTTTGAAATCAACAATATGTAATATGACGGATATGCTTAAAGGCTTAATATGTGATTTTTCACACTTAAATATAATAGAAACAAGTATATCCTCTGAAAATAACTCTGTGAGTCATGACTGTCTACAATGAGTGTAACACCCGAGTCCCTGTCTGTGATGTTTTCCAAGTTTTCCGAGTCCTATCTTCAGTGTGCTTTACATCGTCGGGACGGCCGGCTGACTCCTCCCTTCGCGTATAAAAGTTTTTTAATTGTGGGACTAGAGAAGAGAAGAATAACATGCTGTACTCACTGCTTACTTGAATGTCACGTAAGCGTTTCTAGATCACGGTCATTTTGTGTAAATTTACATGCAGTGTGAAGATACGAGCATAACAAAGATCGCTAGCATTAGCATGCTAACACAACAATGCAGCGTAAGTTGTTTTGGTTTCATGCTGGTGCTCAAGGGCGACATCTGCTGGATCAAAAAAAAAAATTGCATATAAAGCCTTTAAGGGCAGGGTGTTTTTTTTAAAGACTGATCAGTTAATAACATTGCCAGATGTCTGCCAGTACAGAGGTATAGTTCTACACATCCACTAACTATGGTCACTTTGGGCCCCCTGAAAACAATGCAAAACCAGAACCTTTGTAAAGGATATTCCACAACTAAAAGGTTATATTGCTGGGGCTAGTTTCACTTCTCATTCACAGTCTATGGTCAAAACCAAAATGAAATTCTTCAGTGATTTTTTTCTCAGTGAAATGTGGGACATGTGGTAAAAAAGTAAAAGTAAAGTACAACATCAGAGGCAGAGACAGAGAACTGGAAAAAAAAAAATCTGAATTTTCCACTTTATTGTCAGCCATTGCATCCGGAGGTCAAACGATGTGACAAAAAATAATGCACTGTGAACGTAGCACAGCCAAAAATAAAAGTATCACAAAATAAAGATTTTTCTGTTTCCATAAATGAGTGTAAAGCTGCTCATTATTGGGAAAGGAGATCTCTAAAATAACGGTATAGCTGTGTTCCAGATTTCAGTCCAGATGTAGACAATTGAACGCTGCAAGCAAATGTATGTCTTTCCAGGATCTAGTTGTGGAGTGAAAGACACATTTCAGTCCTTTGTGCAACTTCTGTCATGTGATGATGAATGTTTCTTTATCAATCTAGAGACGATAAAGGATGCACACACCACAGATGGTACATGGGGCAGCGGGGTACAGGCAGGTTCTCGTAACTTGAATATCAGAGGTCTTTTTCTGAAAAACATCATTGTAAGGATAAGGACACAAAAGAAAAAAAAAACATTCATTCTGTATCTGTATCAAGGGCGTTCAGCAGCTTGAAGTTGTCTCTTAAAAGGAGAATCACTGAGGAAATTATTTGGTTTAAAGACAGATAACAGGTTTTTTAATCTCAGTCAGCCAACCACACGCTAAAATCCATTCCCATTTTCAGAGAGCCGATGATGCATCAAGATGTAATCTTGTGATAGTGATGTCATCTGAAATGTTTTTAGTCCTTTTCCATCTTTTAAGCTCTTTCAAGATCAAGAACATTGTCCAGTCTTTTCTCAAAATAACTCATATGTTTCTTGCTTTGATTCAGCCATTGCTTTCTTCCTCCATTATTGCCTTGTCCTTCAGTCTTGTCCTGTCCTCTTCATCACTCCTGCCTGTCTCTGGTCCAGGACTTGGTGGCAGCAGCTCCACGTCCTTGGAGCTGGTTGTGCTGGCGGCTCTTGCGATCCTGGTGAGCGTCTGTTCATAGGGTGGGGGCAGGTAGACCATGAGGAACACTCCGTCCGTCATGTCCTGATCAGAGCTGGAGCTGGGCAGCTGGTGCTCCCGTCTGCTGCGTCTGATGGAGGACAGCAGCTCGCAGTTCCTCTCCGGGTCCTGCAGGTCCTCCAGGGCGATCACGTTGGCCAATCCTAGTTTGCCGTTGAGGCTGAAGCCACGCCTGCGGCGCCACATCAGGAAGCCAAGGGCACTGAGGAAGAGGAGGAGGACAGAGACGATTGCTAGAGAGATGTAGGTGATGGCTCCTGCATTGATAATGGCCTCGCCTGAGCTCTGTCCCTGTGAGTCAGACAAAGAAGATTAGAATATATTTTTCTGATAAAGATTAATATGAAATAATGTCACCCCAATATGCGTATTCTTCCTTTTTTCTTGCATAATAAAATTACAATTTGCCTTTCACATAGGAAGTGAAAACTTGTTTAATTAAGTTGATGTCAAAAGCAAAATTGGAAAAAGATAAAATACTCAGAAATAAAATAAATAAATAAATAAATAAAATACCCCCCATGCAGTTTGTGTAAAATATCATATGACTAGATATACATTTGGACCCAATACACACAAATACAATAAAACAAGTTGCGTGAAAGTTAGGTTTTATATTAGAGGAGTGTAAGAGAGATCAGTGACAAACACAGAGAAATTTACATGTTTAGTGTTGAAGTGAACACTGGGGTCTTTTTCATTTTATTCAGATAACATCTGGCCAGTAGAGGGTACTGTCACTCACAAACATCTGTTTGGCCACTTTACAGGACATGTATTAATCTGTTGCGGTTTGAAGCACACAACTAGGAAACAGACTGTGTTCATCTTAATCTTCAAAACGTATTATTTATTTAAACATGCTCAAGCTCTAAAAGCAAGGTATGTTCAAAATGTAATGAAAACCACCAAAATGTATATAAACCACCAAATATAAACCACCACATTTGTGCAGGGCAACTAAAAAACGTGACAGGATGAAACCTGTTTTTTGTTTGCATTTGCAACACTTTGTTCTGAACCGGATCTCTTCTCATGTAAAATCCAATGCAGAGATAATTTCATGTTATAGTATCAGTGTGATGTGTGTGTGTTTATGTTAAAGAGTCACTTTAGTAAAACTTATCAAGACGAGTAAGAACACACTGTTGAAAAATTCCTTCATGAATCCTATTTCACATTTCAGATACAGATTAAAGAATTACAAATATTTTGGACATTTGAGGTAAAAGCATTACCTCACATGCAGCGTTCAATCAGATAAAGACTTGGACTGGCATTTGACAGAACCTCAGTTATATCATCACATTGGGAACAGCTGTTCAAAACGCATGTTCAAATCCATATTCTGACCCAGCAGACTTTTCTCCTCAATGAAGAATGCTCTTCAATCTATATAAAGCAAAATTAATACTTAAAGTTGTGCTATTTAAGGTCATATTGTAAATCTTAATGCTGCTTTTGAAACCTTTCTTTTTAACATTTTCTAGGCTAAATAATAAAAAAATGGATTGACACTAAAAAATTAACAATAGTCCCAGCTCACCGATGCCTGTCTGTCAGTGGAGGGCAGAGCTGAGGGTCCAGGCGACCAGTCCAGAGAATCCCGGCCGGCTGGTCCAAACTTCATCCAGCTGCTGTCCAGCAGAGACCTCATGGTGGATGGGTTAGGGGGGGCTGAAGCCCATGCAGCCAGAGCCAGGAGCTGCAGGGTCTGAGAGCTCTCAGAGGACAAAAGAGTGGATGGAAAGACGAGGACAAGTCCACTGCGAGCCCAGAGGGACACTGACGGCAAAGCTGAAATGATCAGCCTGAAATAATAAGTGTGAAGGGGAGGAGGGAGGAAGAAATGAGGGCAGCAGACAGGGTGTTTGTCCAGCTGAGAGGAGGCACGTCACTGGTCATGGCAGGATTTACAGCTGCTGGGAAAGGTCAACAGCAGCATAACAAAAGCTCACCGAGTGTGTGAGAGGGATGGGGATGAGGGA